ATATATATATATACATACATCGATATATATATATATATATATATATATATATATATATATATATATATATATATATATATATATATATATATATAAAATTTAATCCATCTCAATTGTGAGCTTATTATATGTTTTCTTTATCAATGTAAATAGGCGTTTTTAGCATACGGTATCCCACAGAACAATATGAAGCGAATGTTTCTACTCTTGAAGGTAAAAATAAATAAATTAAAAATTTAAAAAATTAAAACCGATAATATGGTCTCTAACACTTTGTGTTGACTTAGGCTGCTTACAATGTCGGAGGTCAAATAGTGAGTGCTGATGTCATACAAAGTTCGATTTTGGGTTGCAAAATGTCTCGTCCTGGACAGGTACGTTTTATTTTAATTACGGTGTTATTATGAAAATGAAATAATAATCACTTGTGTCTAAATGTAGTGAAGATTTCCATAAATAATTAGTTATGCTGATTAATATAAGCTCTGTTATTTATAAATACAGTGGCTTAGGTTTCTACTTACATCAAAATCGAAATTTAAAGCCAGTGAGGAACGGCAGTCATATGGGATCGAACGAGCAGAGCCTCTTCTCTACTTTGCACTTTCATCCGGAAGTCATTCTGATCCCGCGGTAATTAAAATTTTAAACTCCGTTTTTTTCTTTTCCTAACATTAAAAAAGGAAAAAAAATCGTCTACTGTGGACTACTTATATACAGTTTTGTGCAATTTTTGTTCTCAGGTTCGGATTTTCACACCAAAGAGGGTACTTCAAGAATTAGAAGCAGCGAAAGAGGACTATATACGAGCAACTTTTGGTGTTCGAAAAGATTATAAGATCCTTCTGCCGAAGATTGTAGAATCCTTTGCTAAAGATTCGGGTTTATGTAATGCTGGTTTATTCGAGATGATACAGAAATCTCTACCCGATTCGTTTAGGAAAAGCATCAAGAAATGCCAGCAGGCGAAGAACAAGAAAAACGTAGAGTGGGTCCCGCATAATTTTACCTTCAGGTATCTTATACTGAAGGAGCTGAAGTAAATATCACCACCTCTGCAAGCTTAGTAAAGCTCATTGTGCTTTTGTTTTTTGCCTTTTTTTTGAAATTTTTCTTTAGATTATTACATTCTAATTTTCTTTTTTGTGTAAATTAAGACAAATGAGTTTGCATTTCAGGCTTTGTTGTATATAATCAAATTAATCGAGCTCAATTCGTGTTTAGTTTGAATGTTTATCAAATCGAGCTTATATGCACAATACGAAAGCTCGATAAAAAAAAGTTGATCAAATATGCGTCCGACTCGACTCGACTCGTTTACGCATTTAATTTCAGATAAGCAAAACTGGCAACAAATGCATAGAACAAATTAGAAATGGGAATTAGTTGCTCAGATTAATTATTATTATTACAAATGGTGGATAATATAAAAATTCTAGTAGGGTTTCTCTCCGACAACGTTTCCAGGGGGGTTATAGAAGCAAATAGTCAAACTGGATTGGTCTTTGGGGCACGCCGCGGCGGCGCAGCCCAGCTCCGCCGACTTCTTCCACACAACCTGAGTGTAGACACCGCAGCGGTGGTCCGGCGCGCAGGAGTTGTTCTCGTAGGTGTAGAACTTCTTCTCGGCGACCCACGTCTCCACCGCCGCGCGCGGCGTCATGGCGAAGCCGCCGGCCCAGAGCTGGTTGCCGCCGTACTTGCTGTTGGCCAGGTTCGCGAAGCTGCAGTTGTGTTTGTCCCTCTGCAGCCGCGCCGTTAAGCTGGCGGATTTTGCCAGCGATGGGCTCCACTGGAGTGGGCCCACCCCTACCTCGGCTCTTGCTTGGTTGTGTGCTTCCAGGTACTCCTGGGAGGCGTTGGATGGTGGCGCCGCCGCTGGAGTGGAGCCGCCGCCTGCCGGCGCCGGTGACGCGGCTTGAGCTGAACATTGACATGTGACTAGCAGTACTAGAGCTGCAAATGTCGACAACATTTTTACCATTTTTGTTTCCTTTTCTTCTGATTAATGTGTGCAATTTGCAAATCATATATATATATAAATATATTTATTTTAATTTCAAAATATAAAAATTAATGAAATAATTAAATAAGGGTAAAAGAAAGGAAGTCAATAATTGAAAGAATGCACGTGAATGTGGTGACTTTGTACGAGAGAAACGATGAACAATGTCTCTTGTTTGACTTTGGAACTGACCCCCATCTTCACTGTTACACACGTGATATGATTTTTTGGGGTAAATTACAAAAGTGCCCTGAACTTCAAATAAATTACAAAACACACCCCCATCTCTTAGGTGTGATTTCTCATGTGATCTTTTTGAATTCGTAGAATATTATCCTAAAATACCGATTTTACCCCTACCAACGTATAACAAATTTAAGGTAGCCATGTATGCATATGTATGCTACGATGGTCCATACTAACAATCCAAAACATGTAGTGTCGTTGCAATGTAATGTTGCAGAATTGCAGAAGGTATACAAATGTCACCTACATTTAAGAGACTATTCTTAGGAGTAGAATCGGCATTTTTTGAGAAATATTTCCAAAAATAAAAAATGAATTAAAGGGACAGTGTAGCAATCCCAAATGGTCACAATTTCCAAATATTTTCAGTACCCTCCCTTCAAATTCAGCCCTTCTTAGTTCGTGAAATTAGGAGGCCCACTTTAAATAAGGGCCTAATGAAATGGGCTTCTAGGCCCATCATTTTAATTGGGCCAAGACACAACAATTTTAATTATATTTAAAAACCAGTTGGTCGGTAATTACTTCCACATAATCTATATTTACGTATTACGCCTCCACGGTGATTACTTAACAAATTTCGTATAGAAAGATTTGGTGGGTCAATTTCCTTTTTCCTTGAATTTGCATTATTAATTTTTTTTAATAATAATAAAATAGAAAAAGAGTAATGTAAGGAAATATTTGACTGAATTGTCCTACGTACACATGGAATGTTTGTTAATCGATTGATGTACAATTAGTTGATATGTAATATCTAAGGACTGTAATGCATGTGACATGCTTAAACTGATATTTTGCATGTGTTGATATAAAATTTTGGCACTTGGAAATCACGACCAAATTTGAATTTTCCGGTTGCTTAGTTATTTTAGGATTTCAAACTACATAGCTTAGTTATGTGTTATAATCATCATAATTAGTTGTCGAAAAATATCTTTTTTAATTCGCACGAGTAGATGTTTTTCGCTATTTATTAAATACACATGTAAATATTTTTTTTGTGAAAATAATAATAAATAAATAAATTAAATATCGGTGAAAAAGATTTTAAATAGCAAGTGGGATTCTAAAAAGCTGATACGCACTATGGTTGGACGTACGTAGGGCCATGCATTGGTTAAATCTTAGGATTCTTTTAATTTTGTATTTTTAAATATTTATGTGTCTGAGAAACGAAGAATGAGTGGTAGACAGCAAAAGTAAGAGAAATATGTGCTCATAAAACTTGGTGCCCTACTAAAATATCAACGTTTTTTCTCCTTATAATTAATGATTTTTTTTTAAATGAAGAAATCTGCAAATGTAATTACAGACTGGCTACGGGTGATGTGATAAATGTCATTTCAATTTTAATAATACTGTTTCGATTCCAAACGTTATGCGAACGTTTTTCAAATTTGAATTTTGTGTAAATTAGAAAACTGTTGAAATCGTGTATTGATAAAATTGAAACACATTTAATGTTTCATAGCTTGTAAACATGATTCTCATTTAATAACTCATGAATTGCGTACGATAGCGTGGTGTAAATTAAAGGGTAAATTACTATCACTCCATGAGATATGGTTAAATTATGAAAATTCTCCTCTTGTTTGAGTAATTACAACTACTCTCCTTAACTATAATGTTTTCTACACGTCCACTCTTGCGGTTTCAAATTTAGTGGAATCTTCGAGATTATATGGAATATTGTCACTTTTGTGCCCGTTTTATCCCATTCAAACTCAACATTTTGAAGCAAGATGATCATAATATTTGTTTTTTGGCTTGTATATATTAGATTGTGGTGCATCAAAAACTGTATTTTTACACAAAACGAGTACAAACTAGTAGGAATGGCCATGGGGCGGGTACGCGGCGGGTATCGCAATACCCGCACCCGCCCCGTTTGGAAAATCAAGCAACCCTCACCCGCCCCATACCCGTTGCGGGTTGGAATTGTAGAACTCGCCCCCGCCCCATTTTGCACCTGCGGGTACCCACCCCGTTTGACGACCCGTTTTTTTCTCTTTTCCATTTTGGCTTTTCCTTCTTACTTTAAATATAAAAATCAATTTTAGTTATGTTCCTTAAAAAAAATAGCCTTGTATTTTTCCATTGCAAATATATGTACTTGCTAATTACTAAATACGATTGAAATATAAATACAAATCAACAATCATTTTATAAAATATAATATAAATTATATTAAATATACATATATATAAGGGTATTATACGTAAATAAAAAATATGGGTGGTAAACGAAGCGGGTACGGGTCGGGTACGGGAAAATTTTTACTACAACCATCTCGCCCCTTACCCGTTGCGGGTATAAATTGCAAAACCCTTACCCGCCCCAATCTTTAACGGGGCGGGTATTAACCGTCGAAAACGGGTCGGGGCGGGGCGTGTACCCGTCGGGTCAGGCAATATTGTCATCCCTACAAACTAGAGCACATTTCACGAAATCAAGATGATTATTTTGAATTTGACACCATGAGAATAGAGTTGTAAGAAAAAAATAATAATTGAGGGAGTAGATGTAATTAACCAAACAAGAGGAGTTTTTTTTGTAAATTAATCATAACTCAGGAGGTGGTTGTAATTTATCTCAATTAAATCGTATGTGCAAGTAGATCTTCTGCGACAGACTCCACCTAACAATTAGTGATTAGAAAGAAAGTAAATTTAGATATTGATCATCATCATTGGTTATAATGTGCCCACTATTATTGTAAAATCATTGTCAAAACATAGCTTTAATTTAGTTAAATGACAATAAATCATGGATGAAAAAGTAAGCATTTAATAAAAGCAATGGCTTTTTAGACTTTATGGTGTTGCCCTAGTTTACATTAGATTAGATAATCATGCACGCCACAAACATGCCTCCAATTAACAAGTTGTTTAAGCCAGTGGAATGTATTCACTTTTACTGTTCACACACCAAAACCAGAAAACAAAATAAAATTAAAATTAATTATTATTATTATATATTTCAGACAATAAATTAATTTGCTGTTGTGTAAAATAGTGTTACGTGGCTCCAGCTGTAATGGAATTATTTTCTTCCATTTTTGGCCTATTCTCTCAACCAACTTCTTTTCCCGAGCAATTCCCCAATTACATAAATATATAATCTTAATTTTTTTATTTATTTCCGCGTTGAACATTAATTTCACCGGTCCATCTAATAACTGTAGCCCACATAGATAAATGATAAATCAATTGAAATTGACCACCTTGTTTTGTCACATTAATATTTAACTTTTTTGGGTTTCGGCTGTGAGTAATTCTTGATAAAAAATAAAAAATAAAAAAAAATAAAAAAAATAAAAAAAATAAAAAAGAAATCTTAAATAATATATGCAGATTTGCATGAGGATTTGATGACGTTGATTCTGTTTTAATCTTTTATCAGTAGTTGACATAATATTGTTTTTTTCCTTATTGTCTGGGCATTCATTAATGTCAATAGCGTACGCACCAAACTACAATTGATAGCGATCATCAAAATATTTAACCCATCTTATCTTTATTTTTAGTATCATATATTAATATTTGATATATGCATGCACCATTCGCTGATGACGTCATAAAAACCCACCATTAATTTGGATTAGTTAATTAATTATGATTAGATGATCCTTAACGCATGAATCAAGTCACGATCAAACTGACGAGGTTCATGAATATATATGCTGAGTGCATACTTTATTGCTAATTATTGTCAACTCCCACCGGAAACAAAATTCCATTTGGATAATTAAAATTAATAATAAAATAATATTATAACAAATGCCGATTTAAAGCACCCACTAATTCCTTTCCTTTTTTTCTTTTATTTATTTATTTATTTATTATTAATTACCTCAAGTGATTTTTTTGTTCAAAAATTAAAAGAAAGAAAAATAAAAAAAAATGCATCATCTCATTCTAAACTATATTTACAAAATGATGAATTTAATTTTTCGTTTTCCCAAAAACACCCCTACTCGGGTATGGCAGTCAACCTCGCCGCAATCTTCCCTCTCCGTGCGGCGGCGCCGCCGCCGCTGCTCCTCCTCCTAGATCCAGCACTCCCACCTCCAGCGTCGCCGCCGCGGCCTGCGGCGGCGGCCCTTCGCGACTGCTTCAGATCACTCTCGGCCGGAAACACGAGAATATTCCGGCGACAGCCGCATTTCTCGCCGCAATTACCACCGGCGCTCTTGGTCAAGGCGGAGCTGGCCTTGACGGCCAATGCGGCCATCTCCTCAGCCTGAAGCCGGTGCTTCAGCTGGCTCAACGGCAGCGCGAAGTAGAGCTGGCCAGGCTGAAGCTCCTCGTCGTTGCTCACCGCCGAAACGACGTCGCCGAATTCCATTTCGTCGGAGTTGCATATGAAACACGCCGGATTCTTCTGCAAGACGTAGGAAACCTTAACCGGGTAAGGAAACTCCTGCAATCTCCCATCGTCGAGTATCAATTTAGCAGTCGCAACGGAAGTCGAATCGCACGAACTGCATATACCCATTTTTTTCCCTACAGTTCTCTTCTCTCTCTCTACTTTTCGGTTTTCCTTTTTGCGTCTATGTTGAATGAATATAATGTAGAGAGAAAGATGGGGATGAAAGAGAGTATATATACAGATACATACGGGGTTATATAGGGAATTGAACCAGGATGCCACGTCAGATAATGAAAATTAAAAAAGAAAAGAAAGAAAGGCTAAAAAGGTAAAAGGCGTTTGATGTACTTAGATCAGTGGGCACGGATGCCAGCCTGTAAATTTGTGGGTGACAGCTTGTAATGCCGGGAGTGGGTAATACTATTTAATTGGGGTCATTAGCAATAAACCCCTCATATAGATAATAAATGGTGATATGTCCACCCCTTAAATCTTTCTTTGTGATAAACCCCTAGAATTTGTATTTTCCAATTCTACCCTTATGTCAATTAGCATAATTAGTCTCAATTATTCCTTTTTTCTCTCTTTCCATAACAATAATTTAATTCCTAAAAATCTGCTTCCAAATTCCTAAAAATTTGCTAGCAAATCAAATAAAAAAAAATTATGTTTTTTATTTTTTATTATTTTCGGATTTTTTAACCATTTTTTTTAAATTATATTTTTTATTAGAAAAATTTTTAAAAAATAAAAAAAAAATTATTAGAAAATTGATTAAACAAAAAAAAAATATATATATTTAAACAAAAAATTGATTTTTTTTTCCTCGACAGATTTACAACTCCGATTATAACTATAGTTGAACATGGCTATTATGTGACTACGCGATGTATAACAGTGTAATTAACATATTGTAGAAGCATATTTATTAAGATAACAGTAAGAATATGACTATTATGTGAATGTGACTGTGCTTTGTAAAACATTATAATTAACAGACAGTAGAAGCATGATTCTTAACAAAAACAGCGAGAATATGACTATTATGTGAATGTGACTGTGCTTTGTAAAATATTATAATTAACAGACAGTAGAAGTATGATTCTTAACAAAAACAACGAGAATATGACTATTATGTGACTACGGTTTGTATAACAGTGACTGAACATGACAGTGATAATATGACTATTATGTGACTAGGTTCTGCGTAACGTGACTACAAGTAATCAGCACTTGAAAAAACTTGCAATATTAATACCAAAATACATTGCAAAAAGAAAAAAAAATGACTAAAAAAAACAATAAATAACTAATGTGATCTTTCAACAATGGCCATCGAACATGTTTTTTTTGTTGCGGTATCCAACTCGGTTGCACCGACCGCCCTTAATCTTCCGTTCGATCTTGTGTATTAAATATGACTACACTGTTAAATGTTGAACATATGCAACACTACAAAAAAAAGGACAAATGTAACTAAGTTGTTAAACATGACTACTCTGTCAAATATGACTACTCTGTAAAATACATTGCACTACAACCGACTAATCTCGTAATTCAATGAGTTTTCCAGATCTAAACATTCAGAATAACACAAAATTTAATAAAATCCAGAATAATTGAAAATCAATGTATGCGTTCATAACAAACAAATAATAGAATTGAAAATCAGATCCATAACATACTCTATTGCTAGTTCGACAATTAATTCGAGAAAAATAAAATAAAAAATTACCAATTAATATAGTATATATTGGTATTCATCGTCGAGAGAAGGGAAATCTCCATGTAGAAATCCGACGGAGGCGGCGACAAGGTGGGGAGGCGCCGCCGCCAGCTGTACCAAGCGTCGATATGGTGGTGCTCGACGAAGGGGGAAACGATCTCCAATATCAGCGGAGGAGGGCCTCCTGCAACAGGATTCGGCCGACGACGGCGATTTACAGATCTGAAAAAGAAGGAAAAAGGAAAAAAGAAAAAAAAGAACTGTGAACAGAGAGAAAGAACGAGAGAATGAAATAGAGAGAGAGAGAGAGAGAGAGCGAGAACTGAAGAAGAAGGAAAAGGAAAAAAAAAAAAAAAAGAACGAGAACGGAAAAGGAAAAAAAAAAAAAAAAAAAAGAACGAGAACGAGAACGGAGAGAATGAAAGAGAGAGAAATAAAATTGTATTAGGTTAAAAACCTAACACATATGGGCATTTTAGTCTTATCATGGATGGTAAGGGGGTCTCACTAATTTAGATTGGGATATGGGTTATGGGAAAAGTCTTTAAAGTCAATTGGGTTTAGTTCAAAATATTTTCTAAATAAGGGGTGTATTGCATATTTCCCCATTTAATTACCCCTTATTCATCAATGAAATTACAGTGGCAGACCTTTTTTTTTTTTTTTTTTTTTTGTCTTTTCCTTTGCCATTTTCTCTGGTACACTATATATATGTTTTTTTATGATAAATGCATGTATAGAATTATATATAGATAGATAACTTAATAAGTGGGTGAAATCTATAAATAGAATGTGAAAGTGATTTTGAGATTTAAGTATTGACACTTTCTTTTTCTATTTTGGACTTTGTGGTTAATAATTTATACATTAAAAAACAAGTTTTTAAAATTATTTTGTATTGTGTATGATCATATATTGTAAATTTTAAATTGCAATTATTTTGTATTAAACAAAACGAAATGAAATAATAGCAGGTGAAATTAAAGTTGGAAATTAAAAAGGAGGATAAGACGACGGTGGTCAAATAAATGGATTGATTCACGTCACGTGAGGTAAATACAGTGGTGCTGCTGCTGCACCACCTAACAACCACCATGTATACCAGTTCTTTTTCTTTTTTCCTTCAATTTATAAATTTAATTTAATTTAATATAATTTTTTTTTGTTGATAATTATTCATCTTTATAAAATGATTGAGAAGGATGAAATTAAAATAGTACTTTCCACTAACAAAATATCCCAATGGTGGGTACATAAGATATTTTCTAATTTTCAGAATATTTCGGAACCCTATTTAATTAATAAAACCCCTAGTTATAGGTCGAGTGGAAGGATGATTAAATTGGCGGTTAATTGGATTTA